ATATTCTTATGAAAATGTTGCCAAGTTATTAATCCCATTATTACACTAATTTTTCATTATGGTTTGCCCCAAGAACACATTAATGTGCAAATTAGATGCACTGTATAGAATGGGAATACCAGTTTATGGACATTTTACGCAAATATTCCATAAAGTACAGTAGTATATCAAATCATACTGTTATATATTTCATAACAGTTGAGAATCATCTTTGTACAAAGTTTGGCTAAAAATAGCCTGAAAACTAAAAACTGATTGGTGAAGGGAAAAAATAAAACATTGTTTTTTCCTATACATGCCTTTTCATGTCTATTGAATAACTCAGTCCTGGCGTCCCCTAAAAAGGACATTGAATAAAATTAATATATTTTTTCAAAAATTTGTTTCTTACGTGCAATGACCTAAAAAAACAACAACAAAAGCTAACTCGGTTATCGAGGAAATCAAGAAGTAGGGACAAAGAAAATGGAGCCCGTTCGGCCCTTGTCCGTTTTTTCCGTTAGCTACAAAAGCTGCTCGCGCGGACGACGGCTCGACACTAACGTTATTTTTGCACTTGACACGCTCGCTTAGCAACTCCGAGAGCTAACAGCGGCTGAGGGGAGGGAGTTCCGCGAGACCCGGGCGAGAAAGAAACCGAGCGGATCGTGCGATAGGTGATTTGATCTTACCGACACAGTGGATGAGTACTAAAAACTGATTGGTGAAGGGAAAAAATAAAACATTGTTTTTTCCTATACATGCCTTTTCATGTCTATTGAATAACTCAGTCCTGGCGTCCCCTAAAAAGGACATTGAATAAAATTAATATATTTTTTCAAAAATTTGTTTCTTACGTGCAATGACCTAAAAAAACAACAACAAAATTCACAAAACTTTTTTTTCTGGTTCTCAGGAGGATATTTTAAAAGATTAAACCGGGTATCTATTCAACTACCCGCTTTCAAAACATTAAAAAACCGCAGTCGGTGCAGAAAGGGTCAGTGAGTGCAAAGCTAACTCGGTTATCGAGGAAATCAAGAAGTAGGGACAAAGAAAATGGAGCCCGTTCGGCCCTTGTCCGTTTTTTCCGTTAGCTACAAAAGCTGCTCGCGCGGACGACGGCTCGACACTAACGTTATTTTTGCACTTGACACGCTCGCTTAGCAACTCCGAGAGCTAACAGCGGCTGAGGGGAGGGAGTTCCGCGAGACCCGGGCGAGAAAGAAACCGAGCGGATCGTGCGATAGGTGATTTGATCTTACCGACACAGTGGATGAGTTTGTGTCGCCATGAGTCGAGTTCCCGCCGGAATCCTTTTCTTTCGACCGTGCATTTGGAGCTCCGGCACTGGGTCGCCATTCTGTCCGTCCTCCTTCCCCCCGGCTCTGAGCGTGACGTCACCGCGCGTCATCCATAGCGCGGGTCGATTGATTGACACGTGTCAGAACAAGCTAGGGGCGGGGCTTAGCGATGTAAACAACCTTCCCCCAGTATGCGCATTTATTTAGTAAAATCACTGGATAAATACTCTACCGTGTGGCTGTTTTGAGTACAGTAGCTAGTTGTGTACTTGAATACCAGTGTTTAATTTAATTTAATGCTTTAAGCTTAAGCTGACATGCCTGCACCTGTCATCTAAATAACTCTTGTACCAGTATTACCATTAAATAATTGTCTTCCTATCAACCTCACTGGTAATAATCATCAATCACATAGGCTAACTGTGAGCATAAACTATCAGATCTTATGTAACAGCTTGTACAGTTTAATCATCAACCAGAAGATGATTATAATGGTAATTCAGTGCTAAAATGGCTGCTAGTTCTATGATACTGCAGGGGTGGCACAGAGATGCAGCTTTACCAGACAGGAGAATCAATCAGATATTGCATTATGTCAACCAAAATGCAAAATGTAAAATTTAATTTACTTAATTGTGTTCTATGCATTTAACTATGGCAAATTATGAATTATAAATCTACATGTGTCCTTTTGTCTTTACATTTCGATGTGTTAACATCAAACACAATGTGTGCCCCTCCCCCATTTGACTAAAGTGACACACACACACACACACACACACACACACACACACACCACTTCTAACGAATGTATATGAAGCCCAACTGTCCAGAAAGAGGAAGGCACTCAGAGAGAACAGATGGAGTTAATGCCCAGCTGAGCATCTATGTCACACACACACACACACACACACACACACACAGAGACAGACAGAGAGAGAGAGATCATATCTGTTTTACAATTCAGTATGCTGCTTCTAATTCAGATGCACATGCAATTGATTTTATATTCTCCTTCTCCATTTTGGATCAATATATTACAGGTCATATATCAAAGTATTGATCAACCTGTTTAAATTTTATACAAAGTGTCCATGTGTGTAAAAGACATGCTGATATCAGAGTGTAATCTGAGATCATTTTAAACTAATTTTATCCCCTTGGATATTAGTCTTCTTGATAATACAGCTTTAATTCCACATGCCAATAGTACTGCATGACTCTCAGTTAGAACCTCAAATCTCTACCAAAATCCATGTTGTTATCTCTGGAAACTATAATAGATACGCAAAATGGAAAAAAAAGGAAATCGGTACCTCAGCCTTACAAATAATAAATCTCTCTCACCAGTGCCTTGTTTGCTTTTGGTAATATTCACCAACATAGCAACTCCTCAGTTCTCTAAGGATCTTAATAAACTCAGAACAGCAAATAAATCAACCAGGTACTCAAATGTGTTTGATTGTAGTGAAAGAGATGTAGCATTTGTTTTCTTTTTTCTTTTGATCATTTTTTTTATTGTTCTGTATTGGAAAGGCAATAAAACGTTCCATTTCTCTAATAATTTCGAGCTTTTCCATTTGAGTATAACAACTTTGATAGGATGACTACTTGCATGTATCCAGGCATATTTTAAATTGCACAAAGCCCTTTTAACTAACAGTAAAACAAACAGTGCAGAATTTAAAAGAAACTGATTTATCGCAAACACGTATTTTGCTGATGACTACATCCATTTCTGCTTTTGAAGTCTCTCTGAGGAGGTCTAACATTAATTGTGCTTACTTTGAAGGAGTCAGACATATAAAGTCATTTGATTCCGCTCGGTCTTGTTACTATACACACACTGCTGACTCCCTGTTACTACATATTCTCTAATTGCTCATATGAGTCCCCGATGGAAAGAGCTCATAGATTGGTGGCAACTGTGCCCCTCCTCCACAGCTACCATGTCTAAAGGTCTCTGTATGCTCATGTGAGGGGGAGGTAAGGACAGCATTATTCCACTGACAGGCACATTCATTATCATAAAGGATTGTGTCTTAAAGTAAGTAAAACTTACTTGTTGAATAGTCCAAAAATGGGATTGCAACAACCAACACATACAGCCCAACTCAATGAAAAAACATACCTGTTTTACACAGAGGCAATTTCCTAAGAATTTGTTTGGAAATGTACGATTTGTTTTTAAAGTAAGCATAAAAGTCCACCCCTGAATCTAACAGCAAATTTATACGAATTAGCCAAAATGTGCAATATTATATATTACAACGGAAATCTCACATATTTGATGCTTTACAAAAAAATGGCAAGGGATAAAGTGTGGTAGCTCATATTATACAGTCAGCTCATATGAAATGCATATCAATTCCAACTGCATGACTATACTTTTATTCGAGTTAAGAGGAGGGAAAAAGAAAGAGGACAAACAAGAGATTAAGTGAGTGCATGAGAGAGAGAGAGAATACTAAATGGTTAGATATTTCCAAACAAATTTTAATTTTGCTATCCGAGCGGGGCTTTATACAACATGCATGAGCTGTTGGCTCAAAGGATCCAGGTTTGAGTCTGTTTGGTCCTATCCAGAACTCAATACCTCCTCTCTTTCCCCCTTTTTTCAGTCTGCTCTTTATTGTCCTTTAAAAGAAAAAGACAAAAAACCAGTAATAACATCATGCAACAAAACAAAGAGAAGCAGAGTAAAGAGATAATGCTTCACTTACTATTTTTGTGAAAATGATGGATTTGGAAAGCAGTTTAGAGCATCGTTGATATAGAATGACCATGTGTCAAAGCGGATCTCCTGAACTCCTGGTTCATGGTTGTCCTCAGTTGCTGTAGGATTGAAGAACTCAGTTGTAGAGACATGCTGTGGTTGATTGATGGGTTCTTCTGAAGGTGGCATTTTTGCATCTAGACCTTGATGTCTGAAAGGCAGAGAGAAATGTTAGGGTGTCCAGTCTGAAAAAAAAAGCTTTGTATCATCTTGGTAGCAGTGGTCGGAGAAACCAGCGAAGACAGGAGAATCTGGTAATCCAGAAGGATGAGGACAGATGATTAGGAAAAGAAAAGCATTCTCAAAAAGGCATTCTCTGTGAAGTATCTGCTTTTGAAGCCAGATTGGTTGTTATGGAGAAGGTTGTTTTGTAAGAAAAAAAAGCATAGAATTGATTGAACAACTCTTTTGAGTATTTTGGACATGAAAAGTGGGAGAGAAACTGGCCTGTAGTTTTGTTTTTTAAAAATGTGATTGGATGGGGTCTGGAGGACAGGAGGGAGGGCGGTTCAAAAGGAGAACTTTGAAGGCATCAGTCTCCATAAGGATGAGAAAAGGAGGATAGAGTACTGCATGTTGACGGTTTCTAATAGTCTGCACCTTATCAGTGAAAAAGTGGCAAGGTCATCAGCAACGAGAGAGGTGGTGGGAGGAGAAGAATGTTGTGAATAGTAGGCATGTGCATGTGTCTGAAGTGTTGCTGATCTTGTTGTGATAGAAAGTGACCTTGACAGCAAAGAACGTGGATAGGAGAGGAGAGGAGAAATTGATACATGCTCTTTTGACTTGTGGTTGTCTTCTCAGCAGCCATGAGTATTGTCACGAAATGATCAGACTCTGTATTGCTGATATCAAGTGAGGAGAAGGATATTGGAAGGAAGCCTTCAAACATTAAGTAAACATTTCTTTAAAAAGGTAATAGTCTATAAAATGAGGATTAGAGAAACACATTACAAGTAATAGAACCTAAACATATTCGTCTAACACTGGTTTGTTTTCTTTTTCTTGTCAGTGTTGCTGTGACAAGTCTATTTTTCTGCATTTATACTGCAAGACGTAATGCTCAGATCTTTTTTTTTTTTAGTCCAGGAAGCTCAGAAATCGCTTTGTAACCCTCTAATGAAAAGGTGACAACTAAGGTGAATACTCTAATACAAAGGTTCAATATAGAAGCAATAGTTTTGGTTTGAACACTGGGGTGATTGAAGTGTGAAATGTTTTAGTGGAGTCCCTTGTCACGCTTCCTCATAAGGTTTATTTATTTGTTTGTTTGCTTATATGTTTATTTTTGTAAAATGGTCTTTTGTGCAATCATCCTGGAATGTTTTCCTCAAAAACCTTCATTTCTGAACATCTTGGATGACATGGGGGTGAGTAAATTATCAGGAAATTTGTATGCGAGTTAGTATGTGTATGATTAGTATGTGATTTGTTTGCCATTTAATGGGAACACGTGTTCACTGAACTTGAACACTGGCGAAACAGCTGGGGAGAGATAGTGAGCATCTTTTTATATTTTATATGATATATTTTATGATGATACGGATGAGCTTTTCATTGTGTGTGCATGTACTTATTCCCCTGTTTAATTACAGAAGAATAACCGACTCATAGAAAATTAAAAAATAGACTAAAATAGATTCATCAATGCAGTATTTACAACAAAAGCAATTTGCCCTGCCAAGATAAGGGTACAGGAGGATAAAAAAGAAATAGACATTGAGAGAAATACACTGCAAGAAAGGTTGAGTGTTATCATGTAGTAGTTATAAATACACAGTAAACTAGTGATGGGAGCAAAGCAAAAAATACTATGCAATAACCTTGAACACATTCTTTTATGCCTTCTTTTTGTCTGCTCATATTTCTATGTCCGCTCACTCTCTGTGACATATCCCCTCTCTTTGTCTGATATCTTCACAGATAAAAACAGATTCTCCCTCTGGATGGGTTCTTTTGATCTCCAGTGCCTTATCTCCTAGGTAACCACATCTAAAGCAATTAAAAGGTCTCGTTAGAGTTGCCCTAGTGTGTGTTTTTAATTTAAGATTACTGGGGTATGCCAAAAGTGGGCTAGATAGCCACTCCTTTTCTGCATTTAAGAAGAAAGGTGGGGTAATAGTAGACAGAAAATAAAGGGACACGTGGGATTTGGACATGCAATTTAATAAGACATCAGAGCAATCTTAGAATAACTTGAGCAATCTTTTGTCTGACATATTAGTGCAAAACCGACACGGTATGAAACACATCCCTAGCAATTTCTGAGATTATTCTCTCCTGTTCTGTTCTGATGCAACTCGAATACA